GTTCGTCCGACGTCCGGTACGTAGGGTTTTGGTTAGTAGTGCCGTCGTAGTACTACGGTACGTACCGACGTACTCGTACGTTTTAACCTTACTACGTTAGTAACTTATAGAGTAGTATATATATATATATATATATATATATATCGAATGATACAGTTGCCGCTAATTACTCTCCTGAAGAAAGGGGTGTCACATCAAGCACAATGCTTGTCAGTAGTTGAACAAGGATTTAATCGGAGGCTAAACCACAAAACCTTCCCTACACATACCTGCAAAAACACCTACGATGACAACAACTTAAGAATAATACTCATCTTATGGGAGGACAGGCGCCTCTACAAAATCTTCTACACAATGAACCGCCACTGTCTAAACTGAATATTAAGTTCCCTTGCCATGGTGGTGGACAATAAATGGAGTAGTGAAGAATTTTGTTACTTATTAGAAGTAGCTTTACTAAAGTATAAATCGAATGTCCATTGTCATGAGCTTATACAAATTGAATGTAAATATTGACAGATTTTTTTTTACATCTTCTATGCTTAGAAAGAGAATAGAAATATCCGCCAAAGTTGGAATGAGAAAGAGGTTAGGAGCATCAAAGATAATTAGAAGAAAGGATGAGAAAATTTGATTTGGGTGATATTAACAATGATGACTGTTATGAATGGAACATACCACACAAGTTGAGTAATCATCTACATTTTTGTCATACCACACAAGTTGGATGAGTAATCATCAACATTTTTGAGTCATCTGAGAGTTTATATGCATATCTTACAGCTTCTTATGCCTTCGTAAAAATAACATTGTTTGCATTGAAACTATTAGAGCAGCAAATTAACAAATTTGAATTTCTTATAATATCACCTTTTGTGATGAAGATGTTCAAGTTTGATTTAGTAATTCCAAAAATTCACGGATGTTTATATGATATTTTATTGTTGTCTGAGATTGGTGGCAAACAAGTGTATGAAGTTTATTTTTTAAACATCTATTCCAAGAAAAAAAAAGTGCATTGTTTATACATCAACTCAAAGTACTTTGTGCAATGAAATCTGAACTTATATATTTCACATGCATTGTCTCTTACGTTTTCCCAAGATTTCATCTATCTCAAACTATTTAACTCCGGTAGAAAGGGGAACACGACAATACCTCACACCTCAGGCCAGAATTGCTTGACACCTTATCTCAAACCAAATCCAAGTAAGAAAGTAGAAAGAGTGTGAACAAAAAGAAAATTGTTCCAAAAGGCCAATAAGAAATAAAAATAACCAAGCATATATGAAATATTTTATATATATATGAGTAATGATCCTATGAGACCCTCCCACACCCATGTGTGTAGGACCCCAAAGGATCACCATTAAATTTGACATAGATCTCTAAAAAAGTCAAGTCCCACACCCATGTGATAACTTTTCTAGAGATCTATGCCAAATTTTATGGTGATCCTTTGGGGTCCTACACGCATGGGTGTGGGAGGGTCTCATAGGATCGTAAAAACTTTGTATGCATGGCTAAACCAAGAAGTTACTTCTACAAACAAATCGACAGTAATGGTGCTTACAGTTCCTTGAACGATATCTCGTCCCACAAACCATAAGAAAGCCCCAAGGCCTACAACAGGAAGAAGCACAGCAAATATCTGTACATGCATAACAAACCCCAATTGGTCAACTAAATCATAGAGATCGAAAATTCTAACTCATAGAAAAAAGAAGTCCAAAATATCTACAGTAAGAGCAAAATGAACTTCTTTCAAATATAATATAAAATCAAATACTATCGAAATTAGACCATAAACACCTGCTGCTAGAAAGTTCTCATAACTGAAAGCATACATCCAACATTCTCATGACTTATTCCTAACATACCAACTGATACATTGTCATAACAGTTATAAAATTAAATGAAGCTTCTTGCATTACTGATTATCTTGATTAATGGTAGAGCCTGCTAAATAGAAGGCCAAATTCACATACTTTTATAATAAAATCTTGAAATAAGAAGACCAAATACATCAATGGAAAAAAAGACCAGGATAACACATGAGATTCAGTCACATTCCCCATTGCAAAGTTGAATAGAAGAAACAAAATACAATTACAGTAATACAACAAATGATAGACAAATATCCATACAAGTAACGGATTTAATAATAGCAAGCCCTGGGAAGATCATCCACTTTTGGAATTGTGACCAATAATCGAATAAATAAATGTCAAAACGAAAATCAATAAATCCAGCCTCAAGCACTTTGCGACAAACATCAACAACTAACCACGAATACAACATAATAGGTACCATTTCATGTTCAAGAAAATAAAAAATAACGTGTGAATCCCTAGCCCATGTCACATTTCAGAAGCTTCTTCATATTTCATAATCACATTGTCAGAGAGTTCTTGCTTAATCTGGGTCCAAGCATTAACTTAATAATAAAGAGAAAATCTTATCCTTTCTCTTTTTATTGCTAAAGAGAAGCTCATACATAATCACAACAGAAAGATGAATCTAAGCATTGAAGGATAAATGATGAAAGGTGGAGGTCGATAGATAAAGTGGAAGTACTTAAAGGAATAAAACAAATGGGATTTACCAACGCTGGTGCATAGAAAAGACATTTTGACAAATGTGAAAATAGAAATGCATCATAAATTGAAATGTCACTGGACCAAAGAAATTAGAACAAGTGGCCAAAGGATATAGCTGAAAATATGAATTTGTCTATGAAGAGACATTCAGAAATGTTGTTTATCTATCAAATGTATCCCTGCATTTGATTCACACTGTGGACAAAGGTTAAATCACCTTGATGCCAAAAAATGATCATCCATGGGAACCTAGGCAATCCTATTGTTTCAAAGACTCGACATATCCACCTAATGTCTTTGTTAAAATAAATAAGACAAAAGACCCCCTGCATGGTTACAGATATTTGGCTCATTCCTGGGAGAACTAGGCATTGTAATGGAGTATTTTCGTTACCATTCCACATGCATGTCTAGTATATGTGAGTGGAATCATTTTCATTGAAGAAGATATAGTTAGCTTCGTGCTTTGAAAGCAGTGAAAGGAACTAGCCAAAGGTTCTGTTCCACTTACCAAAAAAATTTCTCCACTCATAAAACATTTGGTGGCCATTATTAAAAAAAACGAAAAGATTCTTGCTCGTTCAATTCATTCAAGGTAGCCATTCGCCTCAGGAGGCATTCCCTAGATCAAACCATTGGCAGGTAAAACAATAGTTATCCAAATGGAGATGAACAAGAAATTAAAAAGTGACAGTGCCATAGTTCTTAAAAGTTCTGTTTTCAAGTTGCAAACTACAGTACCTCATATCAACTCATCATAATATAGAATCCCTGGCACACCATTAGAGGTTTTGAAGAGGAAAAGAAATGATAGAAGGAAAAAGTAATGATAGACTATTGTTTGCTTGTTTTGCTTCTCTCCATCTATGTACCCACTATATGCACTTTTATTTGCTAGCAATGCTTCAGATTTGGTTTGGAAGGTTACCTAAATGGTCAGAGGTTTATCACAGGGTTTTCTCAAAAGCATTTGCAAACATTCAAACAAGTAGAGAGATAAGAGACACTCAGAACTAGGCACTTCTTAGATAGAAAACCAAGCTGTTAAGGAAAGAAGGATCATACTTCACTAATTTATGTTCATAATAAGCAAATGAAAGGCGCAATAGAGAAATAAGCATTCATAATCTTCCAAGAACTTACAAAGAGAAAATCAATCCATACAAGAAAAACCCAATAAGGGAATTCCTGTACAATGTCTGAAAACAGCTAAACTTTAAGGTACAAGAAAAACCCAATAAGTGAATTCCTGTACAATGTCTGAAAAACAGCTAAACTTTAAGGAACGAACAGAAAAGATATCATTATGAATTTATGATACCAAAACCAACCAGAAAGGAAGAATTCTCACCCAAATGGAAACTATGGCATCCAAGAGCCACCCAAGCTGCCCTGTAAGTGAAAGATAAGCCAACCCAATTGCCAGAACCAGGTTCCCCACAACCCTAGCAGTGTTATTACTCTCATCATTTCCATTTCCACCATTGAACCCAAACCCTTGCACCAAAACAACCCTCTCTCTCTTCAAATTCTTATTCATCAACCACAATCTCTCTCTCCAGACAAGCTCTCTTCTCTTAAGAATCTGAACATGGGGAGCAGAACCAAGCTTCCTTTGTGAACAAGGGATAGTATTTATGGGGGACAAGAATCTGATTTCGCAACGGCTAGTGAAGGAAGGGAAACGGATAGAAATTTGAAATGCATTCATGTTCGTTCAGATGAGTGATTCTCTTTTTTGGGTGGTTTGGGATTAGCAAGTTTAGGGACTGGTTTTTGAGAGAGTATTTACAGGCAAGAATGTGAGGCTCATCAACCGCATGATGTATCTGTCCCACGTGGCCCTACAACGTTTTAGTGAGAGATTAGGATTCTTCATTAAGGACGCTTAGGACAAACTGATTTAATCTTTTCGCGATATGCACTGCTTTCTTCGTCCGTGATAACGTGGATGTGGATGATACCAACAAATGAAAGTGGACTAAATTGGCTCCAAGGGTTGATGCCCCTCGCAAAATCCTAATTCAAATTTGAGAAGTTTTGTTTCATATTAGAATTTTTTTAAAATTGTTTTTGTTCAGGGTTAGAAGTAGGAATAACATGAGATTATTCAGTTCGGATATCACAATTATCATTGACAATTAGATTTGAAACCGATAGTTAATGATGTATCATTGTTTGGGAACAAAATTTAAAATAAAATTTTTCAAATTTTGTGAGACCTTGAACAAAAAACAAATGGTTTCATGCTATATAACTCTCTGAAAGGCCCTAAAGGAATAATAAAAATACCCTTTCATGTGTTTTTAAATATGTTAAGGGTGGGAGTGGAGGGTGGGATGTTATGTTGAGACATCAACCCCCCAACCCCATTGCCAAATACTCCTAATTATTTCTCATTACTAATCATGAAGGTGGCCCTCCTTATTTTGTAATGCGAATAAGCCAGGGTATTCTATTCATTTAGTTGGAGCATAATATTGAATAATGGCAATTTGAAAATTTGGAAATTTTTAAATTTTTTGAGAAGATTGTGCTCATCATTTGTAACAGGAAAAAATTGAGGAATTTTTATCTTTCGTTTTGGGCCTATTTCTCAACAATTATAATTACAAAAAAAAAGTTTTTTGAGTTACCCAAATGAAATAAAAAGCAAAAAAAAAACTTACCCTTAAAATTAGTTACCCTTAAACTTACCCTTAAACTTACCCTTAAAATTAGTTAAGATCACCCTTTAGTGATTTTGTAAAAAAAAAAAAAAACTTCAACCCTTAAAATGATATTTTTTTTCTTCTTAGAATGTTCCATGTTCCTCTCATACATTTATGATATAAGTAAAGCAAGTTTTTATTTAGAGAAATATATTGGGGAAATTACATAAATATTCCTTATACTTTTCGTTATTATGAAAATACCTGAAATTTTCCGTCATTACTCAGATGTCCGTTTTTTCAATTTCATAACACTTTTTTTTAAAAAAAAAAAGACGAAACTGCCCATTTTTTGTTTTTGAAAAACCCAATTTTTTTAATTTTCAAATTTTCAAAAACTAAAATTTTTTAAAAACCAAATTTCAAAAACCATAGTTTTTAAAGGGAAAAGTTTATATAAGGTTGCAACCTTAAAATGTAGAAGCACATATGCACCTCAAAAATCTATCGTAAATGTTGTTTTAATGTTGAAAAAACCCTCTAACTGATCATCTCGACATCAAGATGTATGAATATGAAAAAAAAAAAATTTGAGTCCTGAAAATAGTACATCTTGCAACACATTATTTAGACCGTCCATTTTCAAGATTTTCATATATTCATATATCTATTTGATTTTAACCATTTTTGGAATTTAAAATTTTCTAATTAGGTATGAAAGTAGATTTTAAGATAATACTAAGAATTTTTTACAGCAAATTACGTGTTATGATAAATTTTTAAGGTGCACCTCAATTGGATTGTTTAATGTTGCTACCTTATAGAAACCACACCTTTTTAAAAATATCAATATTATGTATGCCTAAGTACTAAAATTTGGAGTTGAATTGGCTTTTTGGTTATCATGCATGCATCTACACTTTAACATCAAGGGTTTGAATCCCCCCATATGTAATCTAAATTTTTTAATAAAAAATAGATTTTTTTATTTTATTAAAAAGCCAAACAAAAAGACCCATCATAGAATAGGCGTGGCTTTTCGATTATCATGCATGCTTCTACACTTTCACATCAGAAAGCCCTCTTCCACTTTTTCTTTGCTCGTGCCCTCTCAAACTTTTGTTTGTACACTGCTACACTAGCTTTGCTCGTTGTTACGTGGAGTAGATTGAACGAGCTCAGACGACCTATCTAAGATTAGGGGGGAGATCCTCAGTACTTGTGATCATGTAACTCTTCCATGGACTTACACATGTACCGAATGCTCATACGGAAAAGTACGCTCCTGGGTCTAGAACTTGGGGGTTTTCCAATAAATCCTTTCTTTCTCGTCCACTACAGGGGATGCAGACACATCTGTGCGGATTACAGGTGACAATTACAAGAATGGCGAAGGAGGTTGCCTAGATGTCCACTGAACAGTCGGGCACACTACAACAGTATGCGCTACTTAGTTAAGCGAACAGGCCGCATATTCACTCAGTCGCCTTTGGTACTTGAATGGGCCCACTGTTCGCTTCTATAGTGAACTTCAAGCCTTTGGTGCAGTTGGAGTTTATGAACTGTCAGCCCACTGATTGATAGTTTTTATAGTTCACTGAAAGTGGCCCAGCCCACTGAGTTGTTCACGGAACGCCTTGGCTTTGGTGTAGTTGTTGTAGGAGGTTTAGTTGTTGAACAAAAAGCCAGCTCCGCCTTCTTTCATGGTCAAGGGTTTAAGTCCCCTATATGCAATCTAAAATTTTTAATAATTTTTTTTTTTTTTATTAAAAAGCCAAAAAAAAGTCCCATCATGGAATTGACATGGCTTTTCGATTATCATGCATGCTTCTACACTTTCACCTCAAGGGTTCAAGTCCTTCCATATGCAATCTAATTTTTTTCAATAAAAAATAGATGTTTTTATTTTAAAAAGAAGATAGAAATAGGTATCGTATTATATATATATATATATATATATATATTCTTTTTTTAAAGTTACAAGCACTAAAATTTGGTTTTTCAAAAACAAAAAAGTTAAAAATTTCTGTTTTTCAAAAACCGAAAATGGGGAGTTTCGTCTTTTTAAAAAAAAAAGGGTTACAAAATTGAAAAAACAAACATTTGGGTAATAACAGAAAATTTCAGATATTTTTGTAATAACAACAAACATAACGGATATTTACATAATTTTTTCAAATATATTCATATCCTCTAAAAATAAAATTATTTTTAGAGCATCCCCTCCTATTCTCGGCATAGCACTTTCTTAAAATATATCTTCCTACCCTGCTTCCTATTTCTTCGTTGCAACTTCTTCTTTTTTTTTGACAATGTTACTAAAGCTTTATTAATCGGTCAAAGGTTATACCCAATCAGAAAGGAAAAACATATGAAATAAACAAATTCTGCATAAACACCCCTCGTTTTGCCAATCCATCGGCAATGTCATTACCCTCCCTATACACATGCTGAAATGAGATTTGGAGACCCTCACACATATCTATAATATTTAGCCATTTCCTCCTCAAGCTCCATGGTGGCCTGGATATCTTATTGTACCAATTTATCACATTCAAAGAATCCCCTTCTATAATACATGGCATTATGATATTCTTCTTTGTAACTTTATTCTCTTTTAATTGTCCTAATCAAAAAACAATATTCCATTACTACCCTATATCATTTTTCCTCATTCAATCTCTCTCACTGACCTCATACCCCTATCTCTCTCTCTCTCTTCATAGACACTCTCTTGCCCACCCTCTATCTCTCTCTACTGCAACGTCTCTCATACCCTCATCCCCCTATCTCTGGGCACGATTTTTCCGAAAGATATCTTATGGAAAGTTGAATTTTTTTTGGAGGTTCAAATAAGTTCTAGGTAATATGTTTGATAATGTGCTGGAATGTAAAGAAAGTTCTAGGTATAGTGTTTGGTAACATATACATGTAAACCATATAAATATAAATATATGCCCAACATAGGGGCAATAATTTTTTGCAACGGTTGTATCATAGCATAATGCAACGACACTTCTGGAAAATCATATTTGTGGTATTTGTATGATCTAAAATTTTACATACACAATCTCTTCATCACAATAATTAATCTCAAAAAAAAAAAAGTTTAATTTGAACCCTGGTCGAAATGAGTATCCTCAAAAAACGAATCTGGATCATTCATTTGGTGAATTTCAAGATATTAGCCTTTATAAACTCAAAATCTTTTTTTTTTTTGCACATTGTTCATCTAATGGTAATAAAGCTATTCAAAAAATTGGAAATAAAAAAATTCTTCTAAGGCCTAGATCTAAGCATCTCACTAAAATAAACAGCCAATGTTAATTGAGCTAAAAAAATACTTTCTAGGTTGTGTTTTCAAATTTTTCCTTTTTTTTTATTGTTCATTAGAATGAAAAGAGTGTATAATTCAAATTTTGGATCAAACAAATGGCCATAACATTGTTTTTGAAGGTTGTTGCATCATATTACTATACAACCGTTGCATGAAATCATTGTCCATAACCATAGATATATTATATAATATAATATATTTAATAAATATTTGTATTATATATAATATAGATATTTGTATATTATTTATATAATATTTATATTATTATATTAAATATTATATA